ACTAAGCAGTCGTTGTGCTGACTGCAGCCGCCCAGGGCATTGGCGGGGCGACCCGCAGTGTCCCAAGGTGGGCAGTGGCGAGCGTGAGCCTTTCAAGAAGAAGCCGGGTACAGAGGCCGCTGGCTCGAACAAGCCATCGAAAGTGCACGGTCCAATATTGCACTGGGTCGGCGTGGCTACCTCTGACGGGAAATATAAAGGCGCACAGCCCAAACACAGACCAAAGAGAGAGTCGGAGATTGAGCAGGACACTAGGAGCAACAACAAATCAGACAAAATTGAGATAATCAAGCTCACGGCCAACACGTTTGATGATGGGCACGATGTCGAAATCAGAGTGCCTACGGCCCAAACGGCGCGTCACATGCAGAGACGTTTTGAGGACGATCGCAAACACATCTGGTTCATCGTGGAGGTCGACCACTGCGTCGTCACGCTGAGGCTGGCTACGAAACTTGCGGTCCGTGACGTGGACACGGGGGTCATCATTACGACGATCGCGAAGATCCTCAACGCGAGCGCAAGCGAGGGTAACGACTACAAGGATGTTGTTAAGGACAAGTGCGATCAGAAGGTGAACGACCACAAGGAGGCGAGGGAGAAGATGATATCGAAGAGGGTGCCTTCGCCTGGAGGTCGGCCGGCTCGCTCGAGGAGGATGTCTCCCCAGACTTGCAGGACGTCTTCGAGAGAGCTACGCGGGCGATCCTTGGAGCGCAAAAAGGCTCCGAGGTGGTCGTCTGCAGGCGATTATGGGCGCAACCGCGCGAATCGCCAGCCTTCGTCACATGAGAGGCCTCGGAGCGCGCCTCCCCGTGTTGCAACACGGAGCGCGGTGACGCCTGGGACCGAAACTCGGAAGAGGACGAGGGTGGAGGAGGAGCAGCCCGAAGATCGAGACATCGATCGAACATCCGATCAAGCAGACCAACATAGACGTTGCCATCGTGAGCCAGACGAGCACGGGAGGGCTTCGCCGCTCACCTCTGGGGATAAGCAGGTTGGACCCCACTTTGACGAAGGATTGTACAAAATCCGCCCAGCGTGTAGCCTTGTCCAAAATCCGCCCAGCGTGTATTCAGTTCATAGATGCTGACAACGTCGTTCGAAGGCTGAATCTCGTGACTCTGCAGTGCGAACGTCCTGAACCCCTGGATCAATCTAGCGTGCACTCCGTGTTCATGAACAGCTCCCTTGATTCGGCTGACGCTCCGAGCACTGCTGATTGGGACATGGTGGACCAGTATGGGCAACGCAAGGCCGCAAGGCTGAGGACAGGAAGGAGTTACAGGACCTGCGCAAAGCGGAGGAGCTACAGGTACAATTACAGATACTCGAGGCGAAGGAGAAAAGCCTGGAGGAGAAGGTGGTTGGCAAACCGACTTCAGGAGATATCATGGACCGGCTCCAGCAGAGACGGCAACAGGACGGTTAAGTCTCGAGGTGCTCGGTTGCCATCGGACGAGGACGAGGAGAAAGAAGCAGGAAGCGCGTGGAAGAATATGGTAGAGACTCGGCAAGCTGCACGCGCGAGGGAAGAAACTGCTGCGTCTGCTGCTCGCGCTGTGTCCGAGGCCGGGGGCACGGCAAGCAGGGGTCGGCCAGGAGAGGATATCACGACGAGCAGCGGCAACCGATTTACGATGACCCAACCGCGCTCGAAGATGAGCGACATCGAGAAGAAGGAGATACACCGTGACATGTACCAGAGCCAGGTGATCGGCGGTCGCTTTGAGGCGGGGCCGAAAGCCAAATACGACCCAACCCGCATCAGAGAGCAGTCTGAAAGCAACCACCGGTTCGAAGAGCTTCAGTAGCAAGCCAATGACACCACTGTATACGCCAAGTGCAAGGCTTGCGGCCTCAAGTCGGTGGCGCACTACACCATGGTGAACGATGATGACACGCCAAAGGAGAAGGATGAGGACCCATGGGTCAATGACGATCCTTGGAGGAAGAATGGCCCAGCAGGAGACGTTAAAGGAAGCGGAAGAGGAGGACGCCACGAAGGAGGAGGACGTCATCCCTAGGATGTTACAACGGAGGAGGTTGCGACCGAGGCAACTGCGTCTGCGACAGGTGCCGCAGGGACGTACATGATCATCAATGACGACACCGAACTCTCTACTAGCGACGTTCTTGTGGTTGTGTTGCCCGGAGGTGTGGCTATGTTGGATGCTCGTTGCAAGCGTGCCGTCGGCGGGTCCGAGTGGCATGCTCGCTTCCAGGATCAGCTGGACAAGCTGGGTTTGAGCTACGAGCGCATCTCGCGGCAGGAGTACTTCAAGTTCGGACCGGGGGAACCCACTTTGAGCTGATGCACGTGGCGGTATCCTGTCGGCGTTAATGGTACTCTCTCCTACCTCACGATTGCGGAGGTTGCAACGGACATTCCTGGACTGATTGGGCTAGACGAGATAGCCGAGTGGGACGCGAGCATCAGCTTCCGCGATGACACGTTTTACGCGAACGGTGCGAAGTCTAACTTGATCCCTTCGGCAAGTGGGCATCCATGCGTCTCGCTCTTGGACTTTCCAGCGTCGGCTCCGGTCGCGCCGTGCGCAATCATGGCGACTACAGCGGGAGCTTCTGGCGATAATCCGGCCGAGGTAGATGAGATGGGCGATGATCTGTATAGTTCCGATGGATCTCAGGACCCAGCGCTCGAGGAGGATGCTTGCGATGCTTCGGAGGCAACCTCGGACGTTGTATCGTCCAACGATTGGGACTCGGCTGAGACGTCGTCTCACAATCACACCAGCTCGGAGGCGGAGCAATGCGAGAACGATACCGACGACGACGACGTCTTCATGGAGGACGTCGAGACGGAGGCGGTGATGTCTAAGGGAGCTAAGAGACACATCAATAATAACATCAAGGAACTACGCGCTGCCATGTGCAGCGAGGCGAGCCGGAAGCAGGAACCCAGAGACAAACGACAAACACAACATGCGGAGAGGGAGTGGTATCTCCCCTCCGGCCCGGACCTTAAACACACAAGGATAACGCCCGGTGCTTGGAGACTTCTGGAGATCTTCACGTGGACGTGTCAGCTTACGATCGTGGCCGCGACAATTGGTTGGGATGCCTATCAACCCATCGCGCCGCCAACCTTCGATCTCCTCGTGCCGCAGGGCCGGAACGAGGCCAGGAGGTATCTCATCGAGGTGGACCCCGATTTGATGACCATGGTGCCTCCCAGTATGGAGCGGCACAACACGCAACGCCAGCTGACGCCACTACAAATAAGACGCCTGCGTGGAGATCAAGAGACGGACCGTTCCGTTATCGCATTCGTCGATGAGGTGATGCAAAAGCGGGCGGACTGTGGCCGAGCTGCGTTCATCGGGAGCCCTGCCCAGTCGTGTATTTGGCAAGAGTGGCCGCTCCAGGCCACGAAGGGACGATCCGAATTCGTGGAGGAAGTGATGGATATGTTATGCCATGATCTCCGGCACACAAAAACAGGCAAAATGCTGGAGATGCCTTTTCGGATTGTGGCAAATCCCGAAATCTGCGGAGCCACCAAGGTGGCGTGCGATCGCCACCACCGGCACGAGTGCATTGAGGGCCACGTGACGGCCACGAACGACGACGCCAATCGAATGTGCTTATCGAGTTTGGCTGGGGGCAACGCCAAGGAGGCGGCCAAGAACATCCTTACGGGGGCTCTTGATTTTCTTGCCCGCAACTGCGTCTAATCTTCGACCTCCTGGAGCCGAGTGGGGAGCCGCACAATTTTGGACCTGGGGCGACCCCGAGAGCCGCGCGGAAGGCTCACCGAGGGCTTGGACATCCAAGCCGCGACACATGTTTAAAGATGTTGCGGCTTGCAGGCGCAACACCACCAGCATTGATGTACGCGAAACAATGGCAATGCCCGACGTGCGCGGAGTCGGCGCCGCCGGGTAGACATCTACTCGCGAACGCGGAGGTGCGACCTTTCGGCTTCAACAAGGTGTTTGTTATCGACGTTGAAATACAAGGACACTGTAAAAATGCAGCTTGTTGTTCTGAGCATGGTGGACGCGGGTACGGCGTGGCACGTGGCCACGTTCCTTAAGAACAGAGGTGCCAAGCATGTGGTCAGGAAGCCCATGAACGAATGGTTTAAGCATTACGGAGTGCCTGAGACTATGATCGTGGACCAGGGTGGTGAGTTTGAGTCTTACTTCGATGGTATTCTTGAACAATTCGGTATCAACAACAAGACGGTAGGAGCCCATGCTGCGTGGCAGCACGGGGTCGCCGAGCCGATTGGTGGACTATTGGGCACTATCTGGCCAAAATCGTCCATGAGTTCGATATCCGAGCAGTCATTATGCGAACATTGCATTGTCCGCAGTAGTGAACGCCAAGAATTCTACTTTGACGCGTAACGGCGTTACGCCCGAGCAGGCGGTCTTCGGCAAAGCGCTCAACTTTACGGAGCTGGCCAATCGTGACGACGAGGTACTCATGTCGGTCCTGGGCTCGCACGGGGTTGCGTCGTCTCAAATCAAGACGGATGCCAGAATGATGTTGCTTGAGCGCGACGCCACGGAGAAGGTACGCAAGGCAATGCTACGCCAAGCGCCCACGGTGGTGGGAGACCTCTGTCCGGGACCCCCCCCGTGGCGCGGTCAATGTCCGCGACAGCAGATCAGCCAGGGATGGGGGTCGAAACCGCCCCAGCGCAAAGCAAATGTACAATCCTGAGAAACCCCAGCCTACATCAACCGATCCGCAACAAGCCCGCAAGCCTTTGACGACCCCAACGCACGTGACATCGCATAACGCGACGCGCCATCGAAAACGTTCGACGCGCGGCCTCGGAATGACATCGGGCTTCATGGAACGTCGAATGGAAAACATGAAAAACCGCCCTGTGGGCTCCGAGACCCAAAATTACTGATGTGAAGGATTTCGGCTCGTCGACCTGAGGGCAGTGCAAAGCGCGACTGGGAGCTGGCAGTACGGCTTGGAGAGGTTGCTGAAGGCAACTGGCGACGTCCTCATTTCTTTTCTCCCTGCTTCCGCGCCGTCTGGTGCAAGGCACACTAACACTCACAAAGTCAGGTTGCGAGCCGGAAAACGTGTTGATAACTCGTGCGTTTTGACGTCGCTGTCATCAGATCGCAGGGGGGGAGGTCCAGGGCAGAGAACGATACAGGAGGAGGAATATGGGGGGTAGGAGCGTCCATTCGACGAGATGCCCTCGGTGGAGCCGCGGGGGGGCCCGCCGACATGACAGGACGTCCAAGAGGGGGGCGTCCACGCGGGGGGATAGCGATCATGGCCCGACGTACGTGCGCAGACGAGCGGAGGCCAGGATGGGCAAAGGGAGGTGCAGAAAGAAGAAGAGCGAGCCATGAGCTATCGGGAGATACCATGGCCCTCGCCATGATATCCCCAGGCATCACCCCCCGCTTGGCCGCTCACGGTAAGGCCCAATCAGGACAGGGACAAGATTGGACCGGGATACATCGGGAATCTCTGGGATCCAACGCTTCTGGAGGATGGTGCCGTTCCGGAGCGATCTGGAACGCTCTGAGAGAGTTCTGGAACGCTCTGAAACGATTTATCCATCCCTTTTCTAGCAACGCCCGAGAAGGTGAGCCCAGACCCCCTCGCGTGGTGAGACAACGGGCTGTCTGTGTTTCTGTTCCTGACTCTGGAGATCCTTTCGGGCCCCGGGACGGGCCAAGGACGCCTCGGGATGAAAAGCCTGTCACTGAGAAGAGCTCCAGTTTTCTGGGGGCCTGTGGTCTGTGTCATAAGACCATCCAAAAGTCATGACGTCGGGGGTCTGGGAAGAGGGGTCCCCCCCTTCCTGCTGCGCTCGCGCTGAGACGCCGTGTCTCGCCGCGTCCTGCTGGCGACGCCAGCGCCGCGTGCCCGCAGCCGCCCAGAGGTGGAGCGAGGGCAGCATCCCCTTGTGATCCCCCCCTCCTCTCTTCCAACTGCTCTCCTCCTCCTCCTCCTCTTCATCCCCCTCCTGCTCCTCCTCCTCTTCAGCTCCTCCTCCTCCTCTTCGGATCCTCCTCCTCCTCCGCCTCCTTCCTCTCCTTCACCCTCCTCTTCCCTACCTTCCCCCCATTCCCCTCGTCAAGGCCTCGAAGCTGCAGACTTGTCTGCTTGATACCCGAGCCCCCCTGGTTCCTGGTTCCTGACGGCTGGAACTTCCTGACGGCTGGAAAATCCTCCAGGCGTAGCCCTTCCCGAGTCCCCCTCCTTCTCCTCCTCCCTCCCTTCCTCCCTCCCTCCCTCCTTCCCTCCCTCCCTCCTCTGGGACCAGGACGGATGGACGGCAGGATGGCGGCTGGCGACCTGGCTCAGCGGCGACAAAAAAAGCTCAGTCAACTCGGGGGACGCCTGCTCACCACCGCACCGAGCCTGGCCAGGCCCATCCCAGGGTCGGGACCTGCGCCTTCCTGGCTCTGCCAGGGCGGTGTAGACACCGACCTCCGGGGAAGCAACAACAAACATTACGAGGTAAATCCTGGAGGCCTCGCGCGGCAACGTGAGACCCAATTAACCTGGGATCCACGTCGGATTTACTTCGGGCCCACGTCGGATGTAGGTCGGATGTACGTCGGATTCACGTCGGAGTTACTGCGGAATTACGCGGACATGTGTCAGAGCATGCGTGCGCGAACGTGGTCCCACATCCGACGGGGCGGACATGTGGGTTACATAATACAACGATTGCGAGGCCTCCAAGATTTTCTTCACTATGTGCGGATACCGGAACTCCCTGGACCTGATCCGGGGTGCGCTCTGACCAGACTTTCGAGGAGGATCATGCCGTGGCGACGCGGGCTCTCCAGGACGAGCGGCTGCATCGGTATGTCCTCCCTCTCCAAACACTGGACCCGGGGACCGGCGTGGCCAAGCTCGCCGAGGTGGTCCTCTGGCGTCCTCCGAGCTTTGGCGCCGCTGCTCGCCAGCCCTCCTCATCCTCCTCCTCCTCATCCTCATCCTCATCCTCTCCTCCGTCTCCTCTGGTTGCGTGGCAATCGACCCCTAGCCGAACAAAAACATGACTGCACATGTTGGACATACACTGGCAACCCTCTGTCGCTAGACTGCTGTTGAGTATGAGCAAAGTCTGCATCGTAGAGCGAGGGTGGCCGCCGCAATCGACGCGGCACCCTGCAAAACTGGCCAGGAGGAGGTTTGGTTCGGGGTCGGATGTTACGCAACTAACGTCGTAACCTTCTGGGTGCTGGCCCCGAGGGCCCCACGTGTGAGCTGCCCTCCTCGCATCCAGGGCGGAGCTACTGCTGCGCCAGGCGTACCAGCGCCAGGAGCTCCTCGGAGGGCGTCGCGGGCGGGCGATGCCGAGACAAAGAGTGGAAAAGAACGGGCTGAGGGGCAACGTCAGGGGGGAGCAGCTCAGGGCGAGAAGAATTGAGCTAGAATCGGCAATACATCCCCGATAGATCGGCGACAGGCCCCCAATAGCGAATCCGCACGGTCCTAGCTGGTTCTGGGCTATCGGCCCCTATCGGCGATGAATAGGCGATCGGGGGTCGATGCGTCCCCACCCCTGAGCCTATCGCCCCCGATACTTGCCCCTGAGAAAACGCGTGCTCATGGTGTGCACACTGCTTCCTCCGGCGCGCCGATGGGCTGCAATCGGGGGATGACGTATTTGAGTATCGCTGAACCGATCCCCGTCCCCAGCGGCGTGGCCTGGGCCCCGCTGGCCGATTTACCCCCTTAGATGGGGATATAGGCCGTTCCCTTCGGGTTTCGAGGGGTGTATCCCCAACTGGGGTGGTAATTCTGTGGGGGTCTCGAAGGGGACGGGGATGAGGATGGGGACCGGCAAAACGATACTGAGTATTGCACAAAGGCGGGCTACACTCAGAGAAACTGGCCGTCTTGTGCTTGAGCGAAGCTGGATCTGCCAACAGACGGCGCAATCGAACCTAATCGACCGCCGGCACGTGCAGTCTCGGCTTGCACACACAGTGGCGAATTGATCAGCTGGCCCCAGAACCCTTGAGGAAAATATGGTGGGGGCATTTTTTCTTTCTTCAAGGGCCCCAGGAAACCCGCGCATGCAATAGGATTCAACCGCGGAGACGGAAGCATTGGAGAAGGAATCCAGGGTCTGGAAACCAGTGGAACTCCAATCGCGGACGGGCAGTGGATATTGCCGCCACCCTCATCAGATAAGGAACCCTCCAAGGTCTGAAGCCTCTCGTGCACATTCCCTAACGAATGCCCCCACCGTACGGTGCACCACGCACTTGCGGAACAGAATGAAGGAGCGGCAAATACTACCCCCACGTACTGCCCCACCGTATTGCCCCCATGCCTTGCCCCGAAATGCTGGCCCCAAGCGCTGCGCTCTTGTATGGCCGGCAAGAACTGCCCCCGCGTGTTGCTCCCAAAGCATTACCCCCATGCACGGCTGCCAAGTAACGCCCCCAGGATTTGCCCTCAAACGTCGAAGCCATGGATTGCCCCCGAATGCGCCCCCAAAGACGGAGCCATCAATCAAACCACGCGCGCGCAAAGGAAAAGTAAGACAGTTCCGGCCCCATCACTCTGACCTCTCTCACTCTCTCTCTCTCTCTGTCTTTCTCTCCCTGTTTCTCGTGCGTTCTCTCTCTCTCTCTATATATCTCTGAATTTGTCCTCTCTCTCTCGTCCGATGACTTCTCCAAACAATGCTTGCGCTTATTGTACTTGCTTGTGTTCTAGGACACTGGGCCGTGTCTTCGGATTGGTGGCTGTGTTGCCGCCGTCGCCGTCGCCGCCTCGTCGCCGTCCGACATCTGGGCCGTGTCTTCGGTCTGGCGGCTCTGTGGCCGCCGTCGCCGCCCCGTCGCCGCTCGTGCATCACAGATGTTGCTTTACATGGTTTGCGCAACATAGCTTACACCACGAGTATTGCAAAACAGATACTACACCACATATATTGCATAACATAGACTGCACAAGATCGGTTGCACAACACATACTTCGCCACGTAAATTTGCACACAACAGACTGCACACCATAGATGATACAACATAGATTGCAAGACGTCATGCTTGACCTATAATGTACAACACCGTGCACCACGTATAGAACACAACATATATTCCACAACAGACGTAGTACTACATCTCCTCGTTGTCTCCAAAATCGACATGGTTCCACAACCTCACCGGAGTCGGACTTAACCGTTCACCCTCGCGAGTTGCAGTTTGAATCTGGTTCTGCCTCCTCTTTCATTTTCAATATTAATTCATACCATCCCAGCCGAGCCAATACCGAACCCCCCCCTCGCACCATCCCTGTCAAATCCGCCGACCCCCGCTTGCTGGGGTTGAAGAGGCGTGTGACACATTTGGCTGTCCCCCTCCTCCTTACCACCTCCCCCAAGATCTAAAATACGATTGAAGAAGGAGGGGGGGACGAGCTCGCCAATCGTCCTGGGGGCCTCCGGAACCTCCAAAAAGCCCCAAGACAACTCAACAGGGCCCAGGCAGCCGGCTGCACAACCTTGGCTGCACACAGTAGATTAGAAAGACCCAAATGAAAAACATAGATTGCACCACATAGATTGCGCACGACCGATTGCACACCAATAACTGCGCAACATAGCTTGCACCACGTAAGTTGCACACCACAGAATGTACAACGTCAATTGCACCACAAATCCTGCGCTACGCATATTTGCACAATCTGCAAAAACTAGCGAACAACCTACAGTGCACCACGTAGACTGCACTGCATATACTGCGATACATCAGATGCACCACATAGGTTGCTGAACATCGACTCCGCAACGTAGATTGCACATCGTATGGTGCACTGCATGGACTTAACCACAGCCATTGGATTGCATGGATTGAAAAATGTGCTGCACAACGTGGATTGTCCTAAATAAAATTGGGATCGACCTCCCCCCAAAACTTAACCGTTATCTTGTTCGTATTGAAACTTTCTTGTGGTTCTCCCCCATCGTCCATCCCGAATATGAACTCATACAATCCCAGCCCAGCCGGTATCGACCGCCCCCACGCCATCAATTGAACACAAATAGTACGCGCGCCCTCCCGATTCTCATAAAAAAAAAAAAAAACACGACGAAATGCACACGCGCGCATAGTCGCGCGCGCATGCAGGGAACAAGTACTTGGTTTCGGAAGTATTTGAAAATTGAATGTCACGAGCGCATAACGAAACAACATGGTTGTGCAAACATAAAACACCCGCGCTCTTGCGAATTCTTGAAGACAGCATCGGTTTTCCCACATGTTCACAGCATCGGTGTTTCCACATGTTCATGAACTGCTTCCAAATTGGCCTCTCGCGCGCGCGTGTCGAAATCGCTCGAACGCGTTAGCGCGCGCGCTGTCGAAAAAATCCCGCGTAACAAACGGGACGACGTGCACACGCGCGCGTCGTCGCGCGCGCGTGCCGGAACCCTTGAACAATATACCTCGGTATGGTGCCCCGAAAGCATACCCACGGCTTCGCAGCATCAACTTTCAAAAAAATCATGCGCTCGCGCTCTTGCGGATTCTCAACCAGGCCATCGTTTGTTCAACATGCTGATCAAATTCTGCCAGACGGGTAACCCGCGCCGCATCTCGAATTCATTCGCCTTGCGCGCGTGCTGGGTGGTGGGCACGATCCGTGTCAAACAATACCACGCGGGCCACTCGTGCGCGTCGGCCGAGCGCGCATGTCGAACTCCTTCTAAACCCTCCCTTGCCGACGCGAGGACATCGTCACCATTATCGACGGGCGTGATCAACACCGGCGCCACCATTGACCTTGCCGTCGGCTTCGCCACCACCCAAGAAAACACCGAATCGACCAAGACGGCCCAAAACGGTTCAAAAGGTTTCAAAGACACAACGAGAGGCCCCCTACGAGGCCTCCCAAGGGGGCCCAAAGAGGACAAAACTGTTGATTGCCGTCAAGATTATGAAGGATGCTGGCGTTCTCGCCGCTCGCCGCTTCGGCTTCCCGACGCTCACAAACGGCCCGCGGTGCCCTCAAGATCGCCCCAGCACGGCCCCAGAAGCCCCCACAAGGGCCCCAGAACAACCCAAAAGAGCCCCAACGCGGCCCGAGAGGCGCCGAAGACGGCGCAAGACGGCCCAAAAACGGCACCAAAAACCGGCCCAAACCAAGAAACCAAACGGAAATTTCGAGTTCTTCGGCCCCGAAGGGCCCCAAGGAGGCCCCAAGAGGCCCCCAACAGACCCAAAGAGACCCCGAAAAGGCCCCCAGCCTGCTCCGAAGAGGAACCCAAGAGCGTTCCGAAGAGACCCGAGGAAGCATCCCTGAGAACTCTGACCCACAACTCAGGCACGGTGGCGCAACAGATAGCGCGCAAAATATTGCGCAGCATGGTTTGCACTACAAAGACTGCACAACATATAGTATAACGCACATATTGCAAGAAACGCAGCGGAGCCCACGCTGGCCAACATGTACATACATATACATTAATACATGTGTATACAAACGCCGATGCACACACACGCACATATGCATATATATATATATATATATATATAGATGTATATACACACACACACACCTGTATTACAACAAAGCAAGCACAATGAATATCCGCTACCGTGCCCTAAGGCACAAGGTGGAGTGTGCTCAGGTCCCTGCGACGTCTCTGTATTGAGCACGGTTTGTACTATTTCAGGGGCTGGGCCCGAAGGTGGCCTGCCGCATGCACCTTCCAGAGCCCAGTGGGCCCCACGGAGCGCCCAGGGGGGGCCAAGATGGCCCCGAATCGCTCCAGCACGCCCGAAACGGACCCAAGACAGCCGAAAGCGCCCCCGAGACGCCCGCGAAGAAAGAACCCAGAGATGCCCAAATCTGTGATCATCGTCAGGCTTTTGAGAACTGTTATAAGGTCTCGCCTGTTCGGGCTTTCGGCGCTCCAAGACAACACAGGAACCCCACAGGAACGCCACGATGCGGCCAAAGATGGCTCTAAGATGGCCCAAGAGGCCTCCACGACGGCCCAATATGACAACTAGAGGGGCCCAAGGGAGGCTCCAAAGGGGGGACCCAAACTGACATTTCGAGCCTTTCGCCCTTAGATGGCCCCCGAGATGGGCCAGCTTCCAGGACCACAGGACAGAATGCCATCAGTAAAGATTTCACTTTCTCCAACGGACATGGGGACAGACAGAGGTGGCACGAAACACTAAACTCTAGTTCGTGCTGAGTTGTGCTCTGTATGCACGGGCCCCGGGGGAGTCGAGTAGGCCCCACAAGGGCGCAGGGAGTACCACCAGGAGCACAGGACGGGCTGCGAATGAGAATGTCGTGCTCGCACGAGGACAGGCGAACAGATCACGAAATCCCAAATCTAGTTAATCATGAGTTGTTGTTTCTGGCTGCCCGGGAGTACGGTGGCCTCGAGCAAGTACCTGAAGTAACTTTGGCACCCATGGGGGGCGGGAGTGCCGCCAGGTGCAAAACGGGAATCCTCCGCTCTCGCGCGGCCCGTCGGGGATCGATCTGGCTCGCGTATACGTCGTGTTGGAGGTGTGGGAAGACTCGGAGCCCGTGATTCCCAAGAAGGCTATACGCCCCAAGGGGGCGGGTGTGTCGATGCTGGTGGGGTAGCGGGTCCATCCCTCCTCACCGTTTTTGCCCTTCGCACATTCACAATGTGAATTCGACTCGCATCTCCCCCCCGAAGACCCCGAGCTTGTAGCCTGCCCCCCTCCGCGTATTGTGGCTTACACACAGGATCCGCCAAAGGTGGTCGATCATTGCTGTTTTTCCCATCCGGACGTCTTCGGTGTTTCCCGAAAAGCGCTCCCGCTGCAGCGTTGGTTCCATTTTGTGGCTCTCATTATTCATGTGTTTCGGGGGGGGAGGAGCAGGAAATGGGAGCAGACCGTGAACACATACACGACTCGCCTCGCCAAGCGTGCTGGCAAGTATCATGTTCGTCGCAGGGTTGTTCTGCGAGCGTGGCTGAACCTCCTGCCAAGCATTCGGGCAAGAGCGGGCTCGGGCCTCGCTAAGATTACCGTGCTGCTTACCGCAGGCGCCAGCTGGAGCGGACAAACCCTGCAACCCCCTGGACAGATAGACGCAAACAAACAGAGAGACATGTGACACTTACTGCCGGGACGTGCGGTCGGGGAGGGGGGAAAGACAAACCAGATGGCGAAGGGTATGAACTAACCCTGAAACGCATTACCCCTTGGCTCGACAACACTGTTGTGCGGCAGACCCGTATTGAGCGGCCGCGACGGCCCAGCAATATATCCACCACGGCACGTGAAAGGAAGGAGGGGGAGCAGGAGGAAAAAGGAAACGAGATGAACAGGCAAGGAGGCGGCGCGCAAAGAACACCAAAACGAGCGGGCGAAGTAATTAACATCAGACGCACTTTCCTGGCATCTGAATGTGGCCCCGCCTCAAATGAAGACGGCGGCGTTGTCAGCGTGGGCGGCCAACAATCCAGGACACTGAGGTTCTGTGGCCACTGCGTGGTCAAGGAGCGGTTGGTGAAACCAGGCGGCCCGTCACCAGCCGCCTCCGCGCGCACCAGCGCCAGCGCAAATTACTGTCTCTCGATGCGGGCTGGTAGGCAAGCGAGGAAGAGACAGGCGAGGAGGGAGAAGAAGATGACGAATGAAAGGAAAAGGGACTAATGCGGGATCTTGCCGAGCGACCCCCGGCAAAACTGCACTGACTGCTACGCCCTGTGGCGATCGAATCAGTCGTCGCGGGGTGGGTCAGGAGGCGTGAAATGGGGCAGAGCGGTTTCCAAAAACGTCCGGTCGAAAAGACTGAGGGGGCAGGACGAGAAAACGAAACCCCAACAGCCAGTAGGGACCGCCGCCAAAAGCCTGTAGGCGACTGACCATGCCAACGAGCAGTCAAGAATCGATGCAATCGAAGCCGAGGAACTCGGCCAACGCCCGCTGCGGGTCCGGCGGGGGTACCCCAACCTCGCGCTCGAGGAGCCGAGCGGTCGCTGGGCACCTCGCGTAGTGCACGATGCTATCGCGGCGAACGCCGCACCCGGAATGACACGGGCCCACCTCTTGGAAGCGCCGCTTTGTGCACCAGCCGTCGCGCAGCAAGCGCACACACGCAGCCACAGCGCGCGGCGCGCACCGGGCAGCCATCCAGTGCAGGCGTTGTCGGGCACGATGGAGACGATGACCAGGGAACGTGGTCGCCGGCCAATTGTCAAACTGCCGTCGCAACTGCCGCAACGCCCGGATACCCGCGGCATCAAGCTGCAGGGCTGCTGCCCGGCGCTGCCATCCACGTTGGCTCGTCCACCAGTCGGCGCCCTGGCGGCAACGTGCAATTTCCCCTGAATTTCCCACCCCCCACCAGCCCGGTGTTCTAAGAAACTCTGGCGCCCCCCATCCCCGAAGCAAGCGGCCAGGCTCAAGGAAGCTGCGACGTGGCATTGCAACCCGCGGATGCGCTGGGCGCGCCGGTGCACCGACAAGGCGCAGCCCGCTTCGAAGAGCCTGTCCCGCGACTTCGCCGCCGTCGCCGTGGCGCGGTCGTCCGTGAAGCCGGTGGGCGGATGCCGGGCAATGAAGTGTTAGAAAGACGGGGCCACGAAACAAGGTCATGCATGCACGCTGTTCGTGGTCCGCGAAGAACTCGGTCACAGGTTCGACTTGGGCCACGAACGTCAGGCCTCCACGGTCAGATGCATCCCCGCGCCCAGTTTCCCCCACATTCCTGATGATTTGCAAGCAGGCGGTCCTAAGAACGCAGCGCGCGTCCAAGGCCGACTTAGAAGCCGAGGTACTCGGCCGTCTTGGGGCCTGTTTGAGCCGTCGCGGTCAACCCTCTTGGTTGAAGCTCGCTGAGCGGCAGCGAACGTGATCTGCATATGTGGACGAGGACGGGGTAATTCTCGTAGGGTCAGAGCAAGCCTGAGCATCCCAATCGTCGGTGAGATCAAACCTGAGATGAGAACTTCTCGCGATCGGCGGTCGTAAGGATGTGTGTTGGCGGATCAAGCGCGCCAGCCTAGCCTTTTAGCATTCGGCTCTTGAAGCCCTACCCCTACCCCCCGCAGCGACCTCGAACCTCCTGGGCCCCTCTGGGGCACCGAGCTCGTCGGGGATGTCCGTAATCTCGAGGCCCTCGGATGGCGGCAGGGGCCCAGGCAACTTGCCGGTAAGCTCCAGAGTGATCTACCCCATGGTCGCCAACATGCTCCCTGTTCCAGTGAGGGGTGCTAACGCTGGATGCGACCACTGGTAGCCTTGGTAACGGCAAACGAATATGGCCATCCGCCAATTACGGCATGGGGAACATCGAGTCCTGTATTATGGTATAGATTTGGGGGTTGGGGCGCACTTTCAGTGCTCGTCAACATCCGTGGTCCCATTCACTCTATGGCCATCAGGTCCAAAGATCAGTCATGGACGCGGAGAGGAGGGGATAGGACGAGGGAGAGAGATGGGCGAGAGGCAGATACAAGCTAGGTGCGCGAGCGTCTTACTTGACGTCCTACCCCTCCCTCCCATCCATTGCCATGGCGTAGATCTCCTCTGTATTTGCATAGTCGGATGTCGAGCAAGGCAATGATCCCGAGAGGGTGCGAGATGCATGCTAGCGCACGGCGTAGCAAGGCATAGAAGCGCACGGCAAAGCGTGATTTCTCCGCGGTCCACCACACATGATGCACGACGAAACATGTAAGTAAACGGTTCGGAAAGAGTGGAAGCGAGCAAGGAGAGCCAGCAATGGGAGCACGATGGTGAACACCCGCAACCAAGAAATAATGGCTACGGGAGGATGCTGGGATCCACTCTTTTTGACGACAGCGAATTCTGGGAACCGCCGTCGGATTCTCTTGCGCCGTCCCACCGAGGCCTGCGTGCAGGCCATATTATTCGACTTCGCCGCGGTGTTCCCCTCCATCCAAAACCAGCTCATGCTCCGCTTCTTCGAGAGTCTGGGCTGGCCGGAGAGGTTTCTGTCCTGCGTGGGCTGCTTGTTTTGGCGGAGCTACAGCAACATATCGCTCGGGGGCACCCTGCATCCCAGCGTCGAACAGACGCTTGGCATCCGCCAGGGGTGCACCCTGCCGCCGTTTTTTGTTTCTTCCGTCGTCTGCGACCTTTAATTGCTTGCCCCGACTTGTTCGTCGCTTTCCGAAGGCACTCCTGCGGGTATGGGCTGACGACTTGGCGATGGTTCTTGCGCGAGCTCTCCGCAGGCTCCACGATTTGTTGCGTTCCTTCGGGGAGTTTGGTCGCGTGACGGGGCACTGGCTGAACATCCCGAACACAGTCATCGTTTCGCTGGATCCGCTGGATACAAAGGTGTTTTGGGCTGCGCTGTCGAGCGCAGCGCCAGCCTGGGTAGGGCTGGGCATTGCGGGCGCGGCCCCTCGGAGGCCCCAAGAGTGCCCCGAGAGGGACCCAATAGAAATTCAAGAGGGGCACAAGAGGGGGAATACGAACTCAGATTCTGAGCCCTCCTCCCCAAGATGACCCCCGAGACCCCCAGCAGGCGCTGTAGAGGCCCCACGGAGGCCCTGGCCCCAGGAGGCCTTCAAGAGACCTTGAAGATGCCCCCAAACGGCCCCAAGAGGCTCCCAAAAGGCTTCAAAACTGCATCCATGAGGCAGCCGAGAGTCCCCCTAAGGAATCCAAAAAAGCAACAATGAAGCCTCTGACTAAACCAGGCACGGTGTTGTCGTGTGCTGGAGGCCATTGGATCCGCTGCCCCCCTGCGGCTGGACAAACAGGGGTGCACGTCGTGCCAAATGTTGGGAAAACAATGGTATTTTATGGACAAATTTAATGCAACCACCCCCAAAACGGGCAAAGACACTCAAGGAAGGGAACATAACGGAAAACACGCCTCCACGAGGACCTGTTCTTTTCTTTTCACCAACGCGCATAGTCGGAATGCACTCCACACAGGCTGACAATCAATGCTAAAAAGTTGTATGCTTGAGGTGATTCACTTCCCAGGTCGTGGGTCTTCCCGCTCCAGACAGCCTTGAGATGGCCTCCCAGACGGCCAAGATAGTCTGCAAGACGGCTAAGATGACCCCAAGGGAGCCCAAGATTGCCCCAAGCTGTTTTCAAGACGGGCCGAGAGGCTCACAAGATGGCACAAGATGGCCTCAAGGTCGCCCAAGATGGCCCGGCCCGAGAGGCCTCCAAGACGGCTCAAGAGGCCTCCAAGAGGATCCCCAGAAAGCCCCGAATAGGCCGCAATCATTGTTCCTCCGTAGATGGTTGATTGACCTTGGCTTGTTCATGTTCGACTTTCCGACGGGCCAGGACGGTGCCAGAGGCCACCACGATGGCCCCACGAGCTCCCAAGAGGCATCCGAGATGCCCCCCTCGCGGCCTCAGAAGCTCCCAAGAAGGCCTCCAAGACGGCCCATGAGACATCCAAGATGCCCAAGATGCTCTAGATGGCCCAAGGTGCCCCAAGTCGGCCCAGAAATGCCCCCCAGGACGGCGTCCGACTGCGTCAGATAGACCAGGAACGCGCTCAGACGGCCAAACAGCCTCACAAGTAGCCTCCCCCCAAGGCCCCCAAGAGGCCCAAGTACGCCACCAAGAGGACCCCAAGAGGTCCCCAGGAAGCTTCCTAGAGGCTCCCAAGAGGCCTCCTCCTCATTTGTCCTCCCTCTCCTCCCCTTGTTCTCTCCCCCACGTGCTGCCCGAAAGATTTCCACAACAGCTGGGGGAATACGTACTCCGATAGCTTAGCCGAGCTCTAGCAGACGTTCGGCCACGTAGGCACTTCCGCAAGACAGGGGGGGGGGGCGGTGATTCGTCGTCTGCGTCTTCGACAGGCGTAGTCGGAGAAATTTGAGAACAAGTTCATCAGTGCATCCAGCTTTATCAGCATCATCACCACCACAAACAACATCACCACCACAATCAACATCATCATCGGTGTCCATAGGACCATCCCACCATCATCATCACCACCACCATCACCACCGTCATACTCAGCATCACCAGCAGCGTGATCAGCACCAGCATCATAATCACCACCAGCATCACCAACATTATCATATCGACATCCTTGACCCGCACCATCAAAAACACAACATCAACAGGAGCACCACAAGCATCACCATCATAATCAGCATGATCTTCACCAGTATTATCATCATCATCTACATCAGCATCAACATCAACATCACCATCATTAACAACCTCGTCGTCGTCGGCGTCGTCGCCTTCAGCGTCGTCCTCGGCATCGTGATCGTCCGCCTTATCATGATCAAAATATCAGGTTTTTTCTCTCTGGGGCTCCCTGATGACGACCAAGACGGACCTGATGTGCCAGAACGTCAGCAGAAGTACAATCGACACTCCATGCCAAGGTACCCGACATACGATTCTGCAAATTACAAGCGCGCTCTGCCGCCCATGCGAACCTGCGCCAACAACTTTGCCAGTGGCCTCAAGCCCAGGCAGGGCCTGAACTTCAAGCTTTCGGGATGCGGATGCCCGTATCATTGGCGGTGTACTGGGGCGACAATGTACTTGGGCGCTTTCCCGCCGGGATACGGGAGAAGTAAGGAAGGACGGAAGGAAAGCTGAGTGAGGGCCCCGCGCGCGGCTACGTGCCCCTGCGGATTCAGCGTGAAATTGGACGGAGCACCTTCCAACGGGACGTCCTCTGGCTCTGCGTCCGTCAGGGGTCCACTCGCGGATTCGTCGGGCCCGCCGGTCGCAACTCATGTCATTGAATTGGTCACTCCAACGTTGTAGCCGTGAGAGGCGCTCTTCCGTCCAACTGGGCACGCTGAGTGTATTCATGAGTGCGCGTGCCTCCGATGTAACACGCTGCGCCCAAACCGCCCACGTCTCAACGTTCCCGCCAGGCGAATACGCGCGCCCACGCCCAAACATAACCCTGACCATTTTGAGTTGTGCACCCTGCAATGTTGCATCCCGTTCCGCTGTCATAACCCAACTGCCGCAACCGCGCAACGCAATTGGAGTCACCGCGCAATTGAATAACCGCATCCGCAGCTCCATCGGCACTGCTCTGTCCGACAACACATGCTTAAACGAATCAAATTTCCCACGCCCTCGTCGGCTGGTGGGTCAGCTCAGCGTCGTGGACGTTCAACGGCGAGAGCGACCTGCCGATATACGGATTGCTCTCCATCGGCTCCACCACTTAAATCTTCACCCCCTCCGCGTGTGCAGATCTGACCTGGCTTCCATATCCAACACCACTGTGTTACAAGTTCGTTTCTCTGGTTGCAGCTCCAGCCCCACTTTCGCACTTTCTCGCTGCGCATTCGCGATCATCTTCTTGAGTTGCGGCAGGGGCGGGCCGACCAACAAAATGGCATCTGCAAGCCGCAAATTAGTTAGGGCGGACTGTCTCAAGTAGCCCAGCTGCACGCCGCGCCCCTAGGAAACCCACTGCGGTTTCACGTGCCGCATAACCTCTCCGAGCACGCAATTGGAAATTACCGGGCTCATGGGGCCGCCATGTCTCGCCCCTCTCAAGATGTCGAACTCCCGGCTTGGCATGCCGCACTTGACGCGCGCCCGTTGTCCGATGTGCAGCCTGGAGAATACGCGTGCGTAAACAGACGGCACGCCGTGAGCAAGCAGCGACTTCCACATGCTCGAATGACCAATTGAATCAAAAGCTTGTCTTAAATCCAGCGTGGCAATCCAAAGAGGGATGCTGAACTCACTGCGTTTCTCTGCTAGCAGCGCAATTGCAAACAAGTGGTCGTCGCAGCTGAAAACTGGTCTGAAGCCTGCTTGGTCAGAAGATTGTTCGGGAATGAGCGCGCCTTGAATCCAGCCGCACAAAAAGCGGCTGAACAGTGTGTGAAATATTGGGATGATGCAGACTGGCCTGCAATTGCCAGGGAGGCGTTCGTCTCCTTTCTTGAGAAGAACTCTGATAGAAAACGACGTCCAGTAGCTCGGCGCGGCTGCGCCCAGATCCAATGCAACTGCCAGCGCGTCTGCAGTCATTTGCATCAGCAGGTCGCTTCCGTTGCGTAGTAGCTCGGCCACCGCGCCGGTGCCACCTGCAGCCTTGCCCCCGCGCATCCGCCTCAACTGGCGTCGGAGTTTTTCTGGCGCGACGACCGTCGCGCGAACGCAAAAAACGCCATGATGAAATTCGTCGGCTTCGCAGTGGTGCAACGATTCAGAGAAAGCCGCGCAGTGTTCTGCAATGTCTCGCGCTTGCGTCTGCTCGTTGCCACTTGCGCCCAACATCGAATACATGCATTGTTTGTTTCGTCCGTTGCTGCGCGCGCCTTGGATCTGCTGTACATCGACCAACTCTCGCAGAATATGCGTTAGGTGCGCACTCCTCCGCGCCCTGGCTGCGCCGCGGGTTTCTGCGCGGATGAGCTCACTCATGGTCTTCGCATTACTACTGTTATCAGCTTGTCTTGCCGACCGCGGCTGGGAGGTCAAAGCGCGCAGCTGCTCGTGCGCGCACTGGTTCTCGCGTGCTTGGAGCTGCTCCCTTTTGCCGCAAGCCTCCGCAACATCGAGCCCTGTGCGTTCAATATGACGGCTCCTCGATATCTGGTAGCGCCCGCCCGGCGTGTCCCATCGTTGGCAGGGGCGCCAACCGTGCGTCCAGCTGGTCATGGTTTTCCCGCCCATCCCTCGGCGTCCATCTGCGCGCATGTCGTCTGCGAGGCGAATTGCCGCACGGAGGGTCGGCGACGCGCCCAAAGCAGTCAAACAGCAGGCCGACGTGCGAAACGCGCGCGGACCAGGCAGACGCAACCAAGACTGGGAACCAAACGGGATGTTAACGGTGATCATCCGGCTAGGCTTCATGCAGTTAGTCGTCCTACAGGGCGAGCTGAGGGAAAAAAGGGCGACGAACTTCCCAGAGCGAAGACAATGCATCAAACTGACTCAATGCCGAATATGTTGCGCCAGCTCACGCTGGACATCTCCATTCTGCATATCGTTCTGCAACTCGTGACTCAAATCTGACATGCTGGAATTCATACTCGCTACATGTGCGAGGCCTTGCTCTGCGCAGGAATGAATGGGAAACTCGGTGTAATTGTTCAGAATCTTGACCAGCACGTCTGCCTTCGCATCTGAAGGCTTCCCACGACCAGTAATATGCGCAACTACAATACCATCGCAATAGCTTCCCATACCCGCTAAAACATCGAATTCCACATATGGGGTTCAACGAAACGTCATTGATAGACTCTGTTAATCACTGGCTGATCACCGCTTATGCCATCCCATGACTCCCGTAAGTCGTCGTAGATCGAGAGAGACTTGACTGAAGCAACATTATGCCAGTATTGCCTGCCTCCGGGTCCTTCCATGGATCCTTGATGAACATTGCAATCTCTCCTGGCTTGAGTTGTGCCTCCTCAGCCACGCGACGTACACTATAACTTATTACCCCCATGTCATGGTCCATCTAAAGCACCTTCTAAAACGGAAGGCGCCAAGACTCACATTTTCACCACACATACGCCCAATCTTTGAAACTCAGAATGGTGTGGTTTTCAGATGTTCTAAACACGGGGACGGTGACAATCTCCCACCCAGCACGGCGAAGGAGGTCTCCACTTGCTGCTGGCATGGGTTCAGGCACGAGACATAATTGCCGAAACTCCGGGTCATGTGGGTGCAAGAAAGATAATCCACTCATCACTGCGCCGTCAATGAATGTCTGTGTCGGTTGAACAAATGCTACAACTGGAGGCAGACCTGGCATCTTCGAATTATTCGCAACTTCGCACCACGCCCCCCTTTCACCTCACCTCGGGTCAAGGTCCAAGCCTGCTTTGGCTTCACATCTTGCTCCCCCTTTTGATGTTGGCGAACATGGCCCACCCCTTCTGTGTCAAACACGATGCGCAGAGTGCTGCGCTCGGCTGCCGCGCTCGCCAAGCAGGCCGCGAGGACATGGAGCACCGCTGCCTTGGCAGCCATCGCGTGTCGGCCCGTCGAGACTCCGGGGAGGACTTTCTTGGAGGGGCGCGTGCGCCGGCGGCTACGGCCGCATCGATTGAGCATAAGTGGCTACGGATTCCGGATACAGGACGACCAGGACGGAGAAAGTTTCCTATACTCCCCGAACAACTACCTCGCTGGCGTGTACAACGGACGGGTGGCAAAGTATGCATCATGTAATTCGACTCGGCGGCCCCTCTGCTGCGCCCTCCGTCGACGTCGTTCTTCGTCGTTTTCCTCTCGTCCCTCGTCCTCCGCGCGCCGTTCTCGCGCTCCACCGCCCTTGCTGTCTCTGTTCCTCTCCTCTGCTCTCCCCTCGTCCGTATTACGTTTTCATCGGCCTCTCTGACGGTCTACAGCCTGTCGGGTAGTACGCCTCTGCGGCCTTCTTACCCTGCCTGCCTGTCCGCCGGTTGTTAGCCGCCCCTGGTCCTCCTCCTTGTCATCTGTCGTCCTCCGTCGTTTCCCCTCCTCGACGTCAGATCCGACGGCCGCCCGCATCCGCAGCGTCCGCTGCCTGCCCCGCCGCTGATCTCATCAACTTCTGAGGATCCCGACGTCATTCCTTGGCTCCTCGGCCACTTCGTGACTGGGGTGTCAGCTGCTCGCAAGGGTACGTTCGGTCTCCTGCTGCCGGGGTGCGTAAACACCTGGAGTCTCCTGCTCTGTCGTCGTCGTTCCTGTTCGTGTTCCTTTCGACTCTCCTCCTCCATGTCTCTGCCGTCCTGCTTGCCCGACTGTTCCATCCTCTTGCTGGCGCCTTTTGGCGATTCGATGTCGTCCCTCCTCCTCTTCCGACTTCTCCACCTCATCTTCATCCTCATAATCCTCCTCCTCCTCCTCCTCCTCCTCCTCCCCCTCCTCCACGCCCTCCTCTTTCTCTCCTCTCTGTCCGCGCTCGTCACATTGATGCGTTGTACGTACAAGCTGAGTCCGCAACGCAAATCCGACGCGTCATGCCTCGTTTGCTTTTTCTAGTGCGACTTCAACGCGCAAGTCGCCGAGGCCTTTCTGACGCATACCGTTGCATTCGATCCGCGCTCGTTGTCTTCCTGGCGCTAACCAAAAGCACCTCCCGCAATTCGCATAGACCTGGGGCACTGCACGGTCTAGCGCAAGGGCCACCACCGCTCGCCACCAGCACATCTTCGCGCCTCCCTCAGCCATGCCTCCGCCGCGGGCCCCGAAAAGCTGGGGCTGTGGGCGCCCCCCGCCCGGTCCCGCCACAGACGGCAGGGAAAACCAACCGGGCCGCGCCCGCCCGTCTTGCCCGCCAACCACCCCAGCGGTGCTGGCTGTGGCACGGCAAGGTGTGCCCCGCCTTCCCCCGGGGACAGTGGCAGCGCGGCCCTGGACTCTCTGAGACTGCCCGGCGCGCGTCTGGTCGCCGTTCACCGGGGCAGGCGATACTGGTCGATGAGACCGCTTGTTCAGCATTGCGCCAACCATCTCGATTCCTCGCCTACCGACGACACAGCCACGGACCACGGACCTTGCTGCAGCCGCCCAATGCAACCATGGGGCACTGGTTACTCATCACTACGACGGCACAACACGGGACCCCCATGACACGGGTTCCCGCGAGCGTCCTCCAGCGTTTGGCGCCCGTAACCCTTCGTGGAAAACCTGCGCAAGCGAACGCGGGCACGCGCCACACACCACTTGCGATGCCGGGAGCTGCTTGCGAAATGTCCCAGAGCTTGCACGAGCTCCAAGTTGTGCACAACGCATTCCAGCATCATCCATGCGAGTACAAGCGCTCGCGACTTCAATTAATGCATATGCGCATGCCTCCTGACTCTGTGCAACTACCCGACGTCTTAAAACATCGACGCAGCTGACCCGTTTCGGATGCGCGCCAAGCTTGCTTGCGATCATGGGGATAGGCGGAGCACCGCTCAGGTTCACTGCGAGAGTAACTGGGCCCCCTGCACAGACAGCCTTTTTCGCCCTCGGTTATTCGATAACGGGGGGGTAGCCAGTTAACGGTGGGGAGGGCGTCGTTCACCTTTTGTCGCCCTGTTGGCCGCGGTGGCTGCGCAGGTGCCCTCCAGAAAAGAACGGGCGAGAACATAATGTAAGTCAATGTCTCCGTGCGGGTTTCCTGGACCCGAGCTGGAAACCCCTCCCTGGCGGCGCTTCAGGTCCCCCCCTTGGCGCGCTCCGCGCGGCAGGGAGTGGTTCCCAGCGCCGATCCCGAAAACCAGAGCGGACCTCAAAGACAGTGCTGCTGTGCCGTGTTCGTTCTTCGGGTGCACGGGCCGTGCAAGTCCTCTTCAGGGCCACTCTCCTGCACCCCTCGGTCCCCCCACGCTTCTTGCACCCGCTACCGTCCGCCCGACTCGCCCGTGAGGGCTCCGCCAGCTACCGCCGCAATCTCGGCCGCCGTCGCTTTCGCAGGAGAGCCCAGAATCGAATCGATAAGCCAGATCAGCGAGCGAAGTGAATCGGATCGGCGGAATCGGCAGCCGAGTCGAGAGCAGTCGAACCGGCGGAAATCGGCAGGCCAGCAGGCCTCCATTGAGACATTGGATCCCCAATCGGAATCCGAAGTCGAATAGAACCAGAATCGGAGCCCATCGAAATCAAATCGACCCAAATCGGAGGAATCCATCGACCCATCGAAATCAAATCGACCCATCGAAATCAAATCGACCCATCGAAATTGGATCCCAAATCGGAGCCCATCGACATCAAATCGACCCAAATCGGAGGAATCCAATGAGCCCTGGCTGCCGCCGCAGCCTTCGCCGCCGTCACGTTCGGGGCCCGCCGGCCGGCCCCACCTCGCCCTGCCGCCGCGGCGAAGCGGGCGGGCGCTCCTGCTTGAGGGCCTCGCACTCCCGGGCGGCCTCCGCGGGGCGGGGCGGCCGAGGAGGAAGGGGGGTGGAAAGGAGGCGGACAGGACGGAGAGGGAAAGGAAGGGAAAGCGAGGGGAAGACGGAAGCAGAGGCAAAGATGATTGAAGGACAAGTGGGGCTACACATACATATATATATGTACACATACATACACATACACATACACATGCATGTATACAGATATAGCGAGAGAGAGAGATGCCTAAACGAGAGGGCGAGCGAGAGAGAGAGAGAGAGAGAGAGAGAACAAAAAAAGAACAAACAAAAAAGAAAAGGAACCAACAAACAATAGAAGGGGCACTGTAAACACACGACAGCCGCTCAATATGTCCGCGTGCATGCGCAGATACAGACATATGTACAAATACAGAGTAAGGAGGAAAGTTGCGAGTGAACGGTAGAAAATGTGAGAGAGGGCGGAAAGAGGGAAGAAAAAGAGAGGTAGATAGGGACATAGTCACATGTGTATATGATATTCGTATAAATACCGCGGAGAGAGCGCGTTTCACGTGGGTTTGCCTTGGGACAATTCGGCGGCGCGTTTCGAACCGTGGGGTGGGCCCCCCCCCAACACTCGGCGCCGTCCATTAGAACAAGGGGGACTCCCCTCCCCCCTACCCCCCCCCTCCCGAACCCTCCCCCCTCCCAAAAGGGAGGGGTCCAAACCACCCCCCCAGCGCCGGCGCCGCTGGCGCCAGCGCTGGTGGCCGCCAGCAGCGCCGACGGCGGGGACGCAGCGACAATGACCAGGAAGGGCCCAGGGGGACGGGGGGGGTCTAAACCCCACCCCCGTGCCGACGACGGCGCCGGCGCTGGCGGCGGCCAGCAGCGCCGACGGCGGGGACGCAGCGACGATCACCACCACTACCACAACCACCACCACTACCGCCACCACCACCACTACCACCACAAAAACCCACCACTTCAACCCACCACCACCACCAACCCACCACATAACCATCACCACCACCACAGCCACCACCACCACCACTACAAAAACCCACCACCACTACCACCACCACCACTTTACCACACCACCACCACCAACGCCACCACCACCACTACCAGCAGCACAACCCACCACCACCACCACAACCACCACCACCACCACCGCAACCACTACCACCACCACAACCACCACGACAAACCACCACACCACCACCACCACCGCCACCACCTTAACCCACCACAACCACAACTACCACCACCACCAACAGAAACCACCGCACCACCACCACTACTGCCATCACCACCACCACCACAACCTGCCACCTCCACCACCACAACCACCACAACCGCCACCATCATCACAAACCACCAACCACACCACAACCACCACCACCACCACCACCACCGCCACAACCACTACCACCACCACCACCTCAGAGAGGCCCCAAGAGACACCCAAGAGGCGCCCAGGAGGCTGCACAAATGCCCTTCAAAGGCCCCCGAGAGCCCTCCGACGCGTCAGCGCTCAATCTTTCACCTATGGGGCCAACGTCCTGCATCTGGAAAGCGCGGCACTTGTTACGTCGTACCGTCACCTACTTCTTAACTTAGCAAGTCATGGAAGGCGCACGGTGGCCCCAGTGGATAATCTACACCTGGCTCGTTTGGTTGCAAAGGGACGTGCCCGTTCAAGACGCTTGAGGTCCTGCCCTAACCAGTTGCGCTCACTGTCGCTAGCTACCAGCTCGAGACTCAGCGCCCGCTGGATAGCGTCGGGAAAAAACCCTCGGACTCGCTCAGTCGCGGCAGGCTCGGGCGGTTCAGCGGAAGCCGCCAGCGTAGCCATGCTCGCACGCGCCACCGCCATCGCGATGATGGGGCGGCTCTGGCTTCTTCCGGCGGGCGCCACACTCGGCATGCCGCGGCGAGGGGCCACCGCGCCCTCTGCCAGGGCGAGGCATCGGGCAAAGCTGGCGGCTCATGCCGCCAGCGGACGGACCAGCACCTCGACAATGACGTTGCTGGAACAGCTGGCAATCCTACCCAACGCCGAGACGGTATATCGGCACATCCTCCAAAGTTTCGTCGGCTACTGCTCCAGCCGCCACTGGGCTGGAGCACCTAGGGCTAACTGGGCGCGATCCTGGCGGAGTACTTCAGCTACCGGTCGGTGCCCACAGGGCGCGGCGGCGAACATCGGCTCGCAGACCATCGCGGCAATCGCGCACTTTACGCCAGGGCTCCCGAGGCAGGCAGGTTCACTGCTGCCCAGGGCAGCTTGATCCATGCAGGCTCGGAAAAAGCGCACGCCAGCGCTTGCGAGGTTGCCGATCCCACGGGCTGGGATGTTCGCCCTCGGGGGTATCCTGATTGCGCGGCAGCCAGCCCCCACGGCTGCTCGGTTGGCCATCAGCTTCTCGGCGTACCTTCGCCCGGCAGAGGCGCAGAGGCTCGCGACCGACAGCATTGTGCAGTCCTCGGCGATGGCGGGCACGGCGCAGCAGTTCTGGGGTCTGCTGCTAAACCCTGCGGATCGCGGACACGGAGGCACGACGGGGTCTTTCGACGAGTCGATCCTGCTCGACCTCTACCTTGAGCCAGTCCTCGTGGCTTTCCGCCAGAAAGGGATCGCGTGGGCGCCGCTCTGGAGCTTCAACCTGACTCAGCTGAATCGGCTCTTCGCGCTTGCGGCCACCGCTCTGGGGATCAACCATCTTCGCCCCAATCTGTACGGGATGGGGCACGGCGGGGTCAGCGACGACCTCCTCACTCAGATGAAGTCTGTGGAGCAGGTGTTTCGCACAGGCCGCTGGGCGGTCATGTCCTCGACGCGACCCTATGCGAAGGAGACGGCTCTCCTTCGCGAGCTCCAGGGCGCGGCGACGTCCTGGGCAGCCTGATGGAGCGGAGCTTGCGTGTGCTGCTCGAGAAAGGCTTCAGCGGCGCGGGGACCCTGCAACTCGCGCCTTTGCGGCTCGCGAAGGTCATGCAGGCGGGCCCCGAGTCGCACCGCCGGAGAGCGCGGCATCGGCCGCCCGCGCGCCCGCGAGGCGGCGCGCCGCGGCGGCGGCCTGGACGCGCCTGGCCACGGCAGCGCCAATCTCAAGCGCCACTTCAAGGCCGCCGTTGGGCGCGGGCCGCCCTGCAGGCGCCGCGCGGTGCTCGATCTATTCACCGGCTCTGGGCACTTCGTGGCCGCGGCGAGGCGCCTTGGGCTGTCCGCGCTGGGCCTGGATGCCCGCCAACCGCCTCTGGAAGACCACCGGGACAGAACGTTCGAAGAGGATGTCGCTGGGTGGCTGCTCAGCTGTGCGGACAGCGCCGTGTTCCTGGGGAATCCCTGCACGACCTGGTCGCGGGCTCTACGGCGGCCGCTGCGGTCGCGAGACCAGCCCATGGGCGTCGACGACCTGGCGCCTTCTGAGACGGCACGCCTTCCCTCTGGCAGCGCTTCTTTTTACTTCTCGTGTGGCATCATTCGTCTCTGTCTTGAGGTTGGTATACCTGTTATGGTTGAAAGTCCAGCGAGCTCATTGATGTGGCAGGGCACGGCGCTAGCATACCTTATGCGCTCCAGCAAAGCTCGAGTCTGTGTTTTTGATCAGTGCCGGTTCGGCGCTCCGTGGCGGAAGCGCGCCCGAATGGTCCCCTGGGGTACAGGCCCTTCGGACTCTCTCTCTCGCTGCAGCGTCGTGGGCGCCGTGGTTTTCATTCGCGCGCAGGTAACAAGCACGTCAAGCTTTCTGGACAGAGCCCCGCTGGATGAAAGTATGCCGCCCTTGCTGCTGCGTAGCCAGTTCGTCTCGCCAGCGCCCTCGCGAAAGTTGCCAGGCACGTGGGTGTCGCCCGTCCTAGGCAAGCCAAGTCGTCCAACGTTTACACATGATTATCGTGTCAACGCGTCAAATGCATCGACATGCATCTGTATTACTCGGCCTGTCGGGCTGCGCCCGTCCTGGCCAGGTCTTCCTGATGGGGTGCGGGACCTCATCTTGTCTGGCCCTCGGTGCTCCGTCGCACCGGCTGCTCTTAATTGCAGCGTGGATCGTCGCTGCCCGCCTGGCTCGGTCTCGACGCATGCAGTACATGATGCACCCGCACGTCGATCCCATCGTCGCGCCATATGTCTGCTCAGGTCTGGCACTCGGGGATGTCGGGGCGGGCTGTATAGATGCATGCATGCATGCACGCATGCACGCATGTATGTTTGTATGTTTTTTGTTAAGTGTATGTGTATGTGTATGTATGTGTGTATGTGTATGCGTATGTGTATGTGCGTATGTTTGGGTCTGTGTGTATGTGTATGCGTGGCTATACATAGTTGTGCATGTATGTGTATAGGTATATGCATATGTTCATGTACATCTGCATAGATGTGTATGTGTGAATGTGCGTGTATTTGAACAGACATGCACACCTACCTACCTACCTACCTACCTACCTACCTACCATACCATACCATACCATACCATACCATACCATACCATACCATACCATACCATACATACATTACATACATACATTACAGTATATACATACACACATACACACATACACACATACATACATTACATGCATGCATGCATACATACATACATACATGCGTGTAAACATAAATAGACACATACATACCTACCTACCTACCTATCTACCTACCTACCTACATACATACATATATACATAGATAGATATGCATATATACACACATGTAATGCATACATGCATACGTGCATTCGGACATCTAGACGAATAATCTGAAATTCGCCAGCCCAACGGGCCAGAGGCGTGCTAAGATCTCCGGTAACTACTTAACAATATTTCTAGTTCGCGCGCGCGCGGGGCGGCCCCTGGGGGGCCCCAAACGAAAAATACCCCGGCTGATCCCCGGCCGGGTCCGGGGCGATCCCCAGGGGGGAGGCTATTTTCCCGCCACCCCTCAGGAGGATCGTGGCCTCCGAGGGGGGGGCTGCAATCGACTACCCCCCCTCCCGCCCCAAGGGGCCCCCAAGAGCCCCCCAAGAGGCCCCCAAGAGGCCCCAGGG